CCCCCCCCCCTGCACCGCGGTGGGCGAGTGAGACCCTCCGGGCGCCTTAATTCAGGGCCTCGGGGCAAAAGCCGAAGAAAAATAAACCATTAAAACCAGACAAAAACTTTGTAGCGCCTGTGGGCTTTGGTCGACGAGTCCGCTTCCATGAAAGCTCACATTAAAATATAAAAGTTAGCATTTAAGGCGTCACAAGGGTTTTTTTTTTTGTTAGTACAGTATTAAAATATAAAAGTTAGTATTTAAGGTGTCACAAGGGTTTTGTTTTGTTTTGTTTTGTTAGTACAGTATTTCTTTTTTTAGTTTTTGATGTTTTATAGAGGAGCACAACTACCTTTTCTACAATCTTCATTTGGGACCAGCAGCTTCCACCGTCCCATAGGCAGGCAATGTCGGTGACACACGAGTCGCACCCTCCATCCTACAGGGCCCTCTTAAATAGCCCCCCAAATGGAGTCCTCTGGCCTTCCCTTTCTTGCTCTGCTCCACACACACAAACCGTGGAATAAGGAAGGGAGGGCATGAATTCTGGCCTGGCTGTTCAGAGAGCACCTCAGGCAGGCACAAAACAGATTTCTGTCCTGCCACCCACCCCCCTCACCACATCATGCTGCTGGAGCATGGGGGGGGCTGGAGTCTTCAAAACAGGGCTTGCTTGGGCTCAAATTGTGTTTAGGGCTCTGGAATTTGTAAGGCCAAAGGAAGTACAGGAGCTCCTCTAAACACGTCCAAAATATCCAGCTCCCTGCAGTGTATATCTAGGAGGTCTGCTTGAGTTCTAGTTCTCAGGACTGGGGGTGAGGTGTGCAGGAAATGAGCCAAGGAGTTCAGGGATGAAGAGAAGAAGACCAACTGGAAGCAACCTTCACAGCTCCTCCTGATCATCAAGAGCACCTTGCCTCCTGGTTCAGCAACCCTTCTTGCTCCTCCTGAGCATGTGTGAAGGGTTGAACTGGGGATTGAGGCGGGGCTTGGCCAAAGGGGTTACAAGGGCCATTGAGACCTCATGGGAGAAGGCACTCGGGGCCTGCCGTGAGGCCACAGTGGTCTCTTTCAGGTCTTCACCTGGACTGCAGTAGGGTTCTTTTAAAAGTCAACACCAATGTCTCTTTCACAGAGAGTCCTCCTTAGGAAAAAGGGCACACAGGCTCCTGACACTGAGGCAAGCCCTGCGGTGCAGTCTGTTCGGGGACAGGGGTGTGCTGCTTGGGGTGGGATTGAGGGGGGAGCCTGGCATAAGACTGGGGACAAAGGGGGGGGAGCAAGAGCAGTTCTGTATTAGGTGTGATGGGAGGCCACAACACCTTCCCTCTCAACACGCTTGGCTACCTCCACTGCTTTGGGGGCCCTTCGGCAGAGAGGCAGCTGCCTCAAAGGCCAGATGGAGCCAAGCTGTCACAACACAGCTAAGGAATGTCAGAACTGTGCCAGAATGGAGGGAGCAGGTGGTTACGAAACATTGCCAAGAGGCTGCTTTCCTCTGTGTTGTCATTTACTCCCCATTGCTCAGAGACAGACCCTGCTCTCCCTTTTATGCTGAATTCCAGAAAGTGGGCACTGCTGCTGCTGCAAGAGCACTGTGCATCACCTCGACATTTCTGACCCTTCAAACTCTTTGGTTAGTGCTTCCTCTCCATTGCTTCACCAATGCCTGTCTGCACTATGTCTCCAATTGCTGGGTTAAAAACATGCCCCTCAACAGTAAGACCCACCTGCTCGTCTCCAGTGCTCTCCAAAAATGATCAGGAGCCCATCTGCAGGCAGATACTCCCCCAAAGCAGCTGATGAGATGCCACCTCTTGGTCCCTAGGAGTTGGCCAATGGTAACCAGTTTTGTTTACCTACAGTAGTCTCCTTTTATCTCTTTCTCCTGCACAAAGCCTTTCTGCCAAATGCACAGACCTCAGCATCTCACCCATGCAGAAGGTGTGTGGACCTCTCAAATGTTGCGGGTCAAGCCAGGAAGTCAAGGCAAAAGAGCATGGTGGTCTGCATTCCCCAGAGTTGAAGGAACAAGGCCAATGAACTCATATCCTGTCTTTCACCATAAACTGGGACTCAAAGCTGCTCAAAGCAAAGTAATTTAAAAGGTAGCACTAAGATATTAAAAGTTATATCACAGGACAGTTAAATTATTAGATTAGGCATCCTTCAGTCTCAAGAGACTATGGTAACGTGCTCTGTATGGAGGACTTGGAACAGTGTCTAGTGTGGCTGAGAAGACCAATTCGAGAGTGGCAATCCCTTACACACTGAAGACAAATACAATCTGTACCCCATCTAGCTCAATTTTGCTGCTTTCATGACTGCCTCTTTCCCTTATTTTGTTAACATACAACTGATGCACCAGTTTTAATTATATAAACACATCTCACCACCATAGAAACTTGGGCATCTAGGCTTGGGGCTAAATCCAGATGTACATCCAAACTGCAAACCTGAATCTTCAGGGGAACATAATCCTGATCAGCACAGGATGTATTGCTTTTCTCTGCCTTCTGAGTGACAAAAACATACCGTCTTTTCTTAATTAAGCTTCAGTAGTTGCCAATATCAAATCCATTACTGACATCAAACACTGGTTTTATAACTGAAACAGCTTTCTTGAATTTAGATGGAAGAAAAGAAATAGAGCTGGATGTCAGCAGCCTATTGATGTCACATAATCCCTAATTTTCCCACAGTATTTTAATGTACATGTTCAATCGCATGAGGGGGCTCCATAAGCCAAGGAATCCCTCAGAGCGATGTTTGGAACTTGCCCCTTCAAACAGGACTATGGCTACCATAAAACATCTCTTGCAAATCCCACCCCAGAAATCATGTCTCTAGTGGTTTCCCCATACGTAGTGGTGACTGCTGAGTGGTGCAAAATAACTGTCTCCATGCTATCAGTTATACAGTGGCTGAAATCCAGTAGTAAGCCACAACTTGAGAAGGCCCATTGAATCAATGGAGCTTACAGATAAGTTGATTCATGAAATGGGCCTACTTTAGTTGTAACATACTACTGGATTTAAACTGTATGTGTTTGTTGTTGCCAGATGTGATCTCCTCTGTAACAGCTGTCTCTCAAAAGAAAATGACTTGCAACTCATGGCAATTTTTACAGTATATATTTTTAAATGCATTTTAATTATTTTGCCCTTTTATTTTGCCTTTTTATTGTATTTTAAATGTTGCAAGCCGCCCAGAGACCTTCGGGTAGTGTGGGCAGCATGTAAGTTAAATAAACAAACAAACAAACAAACAAACAAACTACTGTGCTGCTGCTGACTCCTGGAATACAATGAGAGATGGTAATCCATAGATTGATGTGAAGCAGGCAGATGAAAATTTAGAGCAGAAAATTGGATCTCCACTTTAAAAGAATAATTAGGAACTGTCTCCCCAAACATGGAATTGACAACTTACAACTGCCCTCTTGATTTCTAACAAATAATTGATTGCTTCAAAGCCACCCAGGCTTTAAGCATATACAGAAATTAAAACACCCTTAAACCATAGTAGTATTTGGCATCTAATACTGTATAAATACATGGTTTCTAACAATGCCCTGGGAGTTGAACTGTTGTAAGGTCTTATAAGAAGAACTGGCAATTTTTAAAAACCGGTCGTGTCGCTCCTAGCAGCATTAGCCAGAATCCCACAGCCCCGCAATACACAGAGATGCCATGGCCCCAGATTACTCACCTTCCAACACACTTTCAGAAACAAAGCTAGATGCCACAAGACAATTGCTGCCACCAATGGAAGCAGCTGGGCCCACTGATCTCAGCTCCCTGAGGAGGGGATGGTCCTTTGCTGAGGGCCAAGCACCTGTGGAACCAGGTGAATAAAGAAAGAGAGAAATAGCAAGCTAACAAATCCTAACACACTACAAGCTTTGCAAGAAGGCTTCTTTCTGATCAGAAGATGCTAAGAATAGCAATTTCTAACTCCTTACTTCTGGGATTCCAAAATGGCACACACACTGGGCTCCATGCCCCTCCTAATTCATTTTTTCCTTTATTTTTTTAAGTAAGGAGAATGGCAAGGGCTCCAATACCAGTGGCGTCTGCAAAAATGTACCTGAGCCCCAGAACAAGCCCAGAGAGAAAGGAACAAGCAAGCATCTCAGAGGGCTCAAGGTAGGGCTCAAGGGAAGTCTTCTTGCTTATGCTGTGAGGGGGCCCCCTTTTTTAACTATGGGGAGTTGTACTGTATGTATTAGGTGGCTGGCTGATTTTAAGTGTGTGTTTTGCCAAGATTTTATTATGTATTTCTGTATCTTACCTTTTTCTAGTATGTGAGTGGTTTCTGTGTTTTGGTATTAATTTGCTTTCTGTGTAATGGGTATTTTGCTGTGCTGTGGAACCAAATATGTGATTTGGCACTGGAGAGTCAGTGCTCACTTCTACCCTGTTCATTCTTTCACCCAAGTTACTTACCTCTAAGCTTCACCAGTTTGCCTTCTGTGAGATACCAGTGAGGCAGAAAATTAGAGGTATTAAGCTTTGTGTTTTGAAACTAGGGACCCCTCCCTGCCTAGTATCAGGTGAGCACAAAAGGAGAGGAGACCCACATGATATGTTTCAAAATTCACTTGTGCATAAAAGTGGTACCTGTTCATGCCTCTTCAGCCAGTGCTTTCCTTACGGCATCTTCTCTCTTTTTTCTGCCTTACCTGCGCAAGAGAGGAGCAAAGCAGTCAGCTGAGGCTATGAGGTGCTGATCATGCCCCATTTCAGCTGGCATCTCAACAACCCTCCTTGCTGGAGCTGCGTAGCTAAGTTGGTCTCCTGACCCTCCCTCTTCTCAGAGGATGAGGCTTAGAATGTTTTCCCTCTCCATTGTAGCTCTACTCAAAAGCCTCCCCTTGTTGAGCCCATAAAAGGATGGTTGGGGTGCTAGAAGCATAAAGAATTCACCCGTCCCCCCAGCTCCTGATGGAAGCAACAAACATAGGACTTTCCTCTAGCAATACAGCAACACTTTGATGCTCCCCAAGGCAATCCAGCATGAAGATAAGGCAGACCATTTCTGCTGGTGCCAGACCATCCCTCTATTTCAGGATTCCTGCCTGAAATATTAAGGGAGCTAGGTGTGGGAGCCTAGAAGTATGAGTTGTAGGCAAGCACACACATTGATTCCTGCTCATGGTGCAGTTCTGATTTTCTTGATTTGTGGCCTGAGAGAGAACATACCCTGTTCCTAATTCTTGGAATGAAAGTGGCATGTCTCTAGAAAATTGAACTAAAGCGCTCTCTTAGCTTCACCTGCCTGCCTCTTAGGTTGGGGAATTGCCCCTTTGTGTCTGGCCACACCCACCATGGATGATGGTTTTTAAGAGTGACCAGAACAGGGCACCGACATGTCAGACTCACCCGCTGCTGGAGAAGGGGCGGTGGTGCTCCATGTCCCCGTTTTCTTGATCCTGAGATCCAGGTGTTTTTCCGCCCAACCCAACTGGATCCTCTGCCAGTCACCCGGATCAAAGGGCAGAAGCTAAAGGCTCAGCCCTTTCAAAATCCACAGCTAATGCCACCCGCCCGCCCCTCCATTGCATCCTTGTGCCCCAGCCGGAGGGAGAAGCAGCCCTGCAAGGGAGGGGACACACAAAGCTTCCTCCCTCCTCCGCCGGCCAGCTCCCTTCTCGTGCCCCCCCCCCGTCGCTTACCGTCTGAAGCCCTGGAGTGGCGTGTGTGTCTCTGTGTGTGTGTGGGGGGGGGAAATCCTCCCCGCCTCAACGCCACGGAGCGCCACTCCAAGCCGGCAATCGCCGCCAACCCCTCCGGAGGGCTCTCTCTTTCTCCCGGGCACGTCTGGCATCGCGGGCAAGCGAGCCGCCCAGCTCACCCTCCGCCGGAGGAGCGGTGGGGCCAGCGACGCC